AAAAAAAAACAAGCTAAGCAGACAACATCAAACTTAGCACCAAGAAATACTGTAATCAAACAACTAAAATACTGAAAATGGTTTGGATTCAAACGTCATGGGTAACAAAAGATCTTAACCTAAATGATAAAGAAAAGAACTTAGTTTAACATTTAAACAACCAGAGCAAAGCGCTGACTGCTCCTACATGACAAATACCAAGTAAAAACATACTATCTTAAGATTTACTGTTACCTGCAGACAGGCAAATCATTTTAAGACAAAACATGACAATAAATGGGAGAGCATACCTCTCAGGTGACAGAAACTCAGTAGCCTTGCAAGCTGTATATGAACACTTTGAACACCAGAGAGCAGTAGTGATTCACACAAACAGTAAGGCAACAGGGGATCTGACTCAAACTGACTTTAATTCGGAAAGATCTAATATTCACAAAACAAAATTATCACATGGGAGATATGACTCACGTGTGTACTTTTATCTAAATAAAGATGCCTTAGGTTGCTGGGTCAGAATAAAACAAATCTGAGTAAGAAACTACTCAGCAGAAGCTTCCAGTTACTGTTTAACTCGCATATGACGAGTTAAAGACATCAGTTTTGCTATTTTGTCATTATTTAATATGTTATACACATAATTACAATACAAACCCTGTATAAAACATGCTATAAAACAATCACAACTGAGACTATCACCACTGAGAATCTAAACTGCTGAAATGACAGAAGACGACGCTCTGGTTCGCTCAGGTATAGCCAAGCTACTTCTACACCGAAGACCATACCCATACAACTCAACACTGTTGTGTGCAATATGAATAGTAAAACAATTTCTATTGTTTTCTTGAAGTTAAAAATATGCTCTGTAACCTTTGCTTGAGTGTGTGTAATGATCACCCCTGTCAGCAGCCCTGATGTGTCAGTAGTTGGAGGAGAAGAAATGAATTGAAGCTTTCAGCACGTCTTCTAACAAACACTTCAGAAACGCTGACTTGGCTGTTGGTGAAAACAGTCACAATAATAAGACTCCAGAAATAAAAGTAAGACTCACATGCTGTTCCTTGTGTTTGAACACCTCTTACACGCTAACACTCTTTTGCATTCCTGATAGTTCACATTTCAAACTCTGAATCCAAAATCCCCCCCCGCCCCCCCCCCCTGGTTCAATTAGATTTTCTAATTTTATAGATTCCCCTGTAGTTTGGTGCTTTGCTCCTTCCCTCCTCTTACCTCCCCCTGCTCTTTCCTCGCTATTGCTTGTGTTTATGGCTGACAATCTGGACTAAAAAGGCAGTGCCATGCTTTCATTCACCAGGCTCCACTTGTATTCGGCCTCCGCAAAGATCTGCCCAAAACCAGGCACCATGCTTAAATCACTGGAGGTCCTCTAAGCGACACAGTTACCACGGAACTGGGAATGTGGCAGTCCCTGATTACACACCAAATGTATTTATATGCTGTACCTGTCATACAGTCTTGTTCTTGGGGAGTATTTAAGCCATTATGGCAGTCCCAGCAATGGACCTCAGCAAGAGAACTTACACAATGAAAATGTTGATACTTCCCTAAACAACAATATAGTCTTTGTTGCATTGTAATCCTTTCCTAACCGTCATCTCTGAAAACAAGACCTAATGAGAAGTTGTTGCTTTTCTGGGCAGCCCACCAGTAAATGACATGGTTAAATATGAAAATCAAGAAAGAGAATTTGTGGCGTGCCTGTGCAGTTGGGGATGTTTTGTCAAAAAGCATTTTGTCTCCGTAACTTGTTGTGTCACTCCCTTGGGCACTCACTCTCTTTTACGTAGGTACAAAGAGAAGAAACATGGGCAAAAAGCGGAGGGTTAGCGGTTGTTGGGCAACCCACCACACATATCCACACACACACTTTCCTGGATGAATTTTCCAGGAATAACCCCAGGAGAGAGGGAGACGAAACTTCTTCCCATTAAGAGATCGGAGCTGATAAACTGTCAAGAATAATAAAATATTTCATTTCATGTTGCGAGAATTTATTACATATCCCAGTTTTTTTATTAAGTTTTCTCCAAATTAATTGTTAATCCATTTTTAGACAGATTTTTTGTTATTTTTTCATGTGCTTTCTATCAGAACTGCTCGCGCGTGGGACACTTACATTACACAATACACAAAACACCCACAAAACCATTGTCATGTCCATATTCCCTACAGCCCTCTGACAGGATGTAGCATGTTTCTGAAAGAAACTACTCCCCAGACATGATTCAAACCTCCATATACTGAGCAAACGTCTGGATCACTACTAGTCAGCATTGTTTTGTAACCACCTGGATCCGGATCAAACTTTAAAGGGTTCTTGAAAAAGCGAATAAGAGTTGAGATTAATTTGTGAACTCAAAGAAATAATACCATAGTTTCAGGGAAAATCAGGGGATGTCACCTTCAAGGAGAAACAATTACATGCAGGTAACAAATACATAAAACCTCAATTGTTTATGACCACAAAAGACAATGGATAATGTGAATATCCACATGTAGCCACATTTAAAACACACAGGGATACATGCACATACAGTGGCATCACAGCACATTCATACTTACAGGTACATGGGCTTTAAGAGGAGGTGAGATGGTTTCTCATTGACATGGTAGAGTGGGAATGGGTCAAATCCACCAATAAAATCAACTGAAAACAAAGGATTAAACACATGAATTATGGAGTAAATCAAAAGACAGACAACTACAGAATAAAACATGGAAGTAAATAAAAAGACATGCATGATAAAAAAAAGAAATGAAAAATGAAATGGAAACAAAAGACACAGTGGAGAACATATAGAATGCAGGGATGTTGAAAGGTAGGCAGCTTGCCAAGAACTGTACACGTCCTAGTTTTAGTTTTAACTTTGACAAATAAATGAAATAATAAAAACATCTCTGCTTTAACTTTTTTTTTTCATCTGTGCATCTGCTTGAAGCCGGAGGGAAAGCTCGGGAACAGGTGAAAGCTGGCCAGCTGTCAAAATAGCCTAAGCCTTTTTTATCGCTCAGAAACAGAGGTGACCTTCAGCCACCGACCGGATGCCTGGCGCTTTCTGTTTATTTTCTCACTAGAGTTCAGACTAGAGGCGAAGTGCAGATGAGCAAACGAGTGTTATGTCGTTGTGAGAAAGAGAGGGATGTGCTGGCAACCAAAGTGCTGTGTATTCTTCACAGATGCGGAGTGATATTTTTGAGATGAAGGGAAAAGCTTGAGGCTCATGAGGGGACACAAGGGCTGAGGGGGAGAGAGAGGGGAGGAAGGGGCCGCCTCATGCATGTCGGTCTGACTGACAGAGGGGCCAAAGAGATTACACTGAAGGAGTGCATGTGAAAGAGGCCAGCATGTCCAGGAGCTGTGAGTAAAGCCTGTAAACACCATGATGGGGAGAAAAAGGAGAAACTGAAATTGAACCTGATTCGGTGGAAAAAGACAGCAAACAAACAGATCATAGTTCAAAAGGGTAACAAAAAATGGGCAGATCTGTTACTTTTGAGGACCAACAGCTATGTGGGAGGGAAACAGACACCAGCCAGCTATGGAAACTACTGTAAGGCCAAATCAGTTTAATCCTGATAAGAGGAGGCAGGGGTGGTCTGCTGAATACTGATAGGTAGGCAGGATGAGCGCAGAGAGCCACAGGGTGGTTTTGTGTGGTGGGGGTCTGTCCCTTTCCTCTGACCCTGCCCTGGGATTCTCCATTTCATCTGTTCACCAGATACACACATACACAGCACCCACCTACCCACACACAAAGACCTCTTCCCTGATCTTTTCTGTACCAGTGATTTTCTCATTATAAGCAGGTGGGAATCCATTCCTTGCCATGATAAACTGTGCTGAGGAACACAGTTAGATGATAATGATGGCTGCCATTTTTAGACACACTAGAAAGCTCTAGGGACGGCAGCGTCAGCCGGTCGGTCCATCCGTCAGTCAGTCTGTCAATCCAACACTTTGACTTAGAGTGAAGTATTATGACAAGTAGTGGATGGATTGCTGTGAAATGTGGCACAGACATAAAAAAATCCCCAGATGATGAAAATCGAATGACTTGGTGATCTCCTGTCTGCGGAACAGGTCTAAATTTCTGTTCATGACAGAATACCTTGAAAAGTAGTAGTCAAATTCCAGCCATGTATCTTGTGCAACATTCACAGGAAAAGCAACTTCATGATTAGCATGGGAGATAACCGCGTATCCACCATCCTAAAGTTCAGAATCTGAGCCTCAACAGGTGTCGTGACCTGCTCTTATGCTAATGAGACATCTTATGTGTCAAAACATTAGCTGTTGCACTTTATTAAAAGCGTCATTTATAACCTCGTGCTCCATCCGTCCTACATACTGTAGAGTGTATGTCAGCCTATTAATTGCATCTCCATTGTTGGATTCCTTTTCCCGTTAATTATTACACGCGTTGGTCTGACCCTGACCTTGAAGTGGATCTTCTACGAAACTCACTGAAACCCGAAGCTTATAAAATCAGGGTATACTGTTGTAAAGAATCTGTTCTTTGCGCTTGCTCTGTAAACAGCAAACAACACACACAAAATGAATGTAAAAAGCTGCTTAGATGAAATGGTTAAAAGGTATTTAGTTCAATAGTTAAGGCATCTATGTGGTGCCCCTAAACAAGCAGCGAATAACGTAAAACAATTTTTATATTGTTTCAGTTCAAGCTGAAATCAGAGGACCTGTTCTGAACCAGGAGAAAGAGTTGGAGTCAAACTACAGTATACTGCTGCATCTGCCACCGTGTGTGTGTGTGGGTTGGCGAGCTGACAGTGAAATGAAACACAAGCACAGAGATAAAAGGAAAAAGACCAGGAGGGGGAAACAGGGTTGGTGAGAATAAAAGAGCACGGTGTGAGGAAGATGGAGAAAAACAGGGAGAAACGGGGCAGAGACAAAGACAGAGAGAGAGTGATAAAGGGCAGACAGGTAGTTCAAGACTTCAGAGCCTGTCTGTAATGCTTTAAGAGGTGAGTTACAAGACACAGTTGTGGTCTCTCTCTCACACACTCTCTGTCTTACACACACACTCACTCAGTATTTAAGGGAGCTCCTCATAGTTCCATTCTGCAGTACTGCATCTCTGTCCTCACACACCATTACACAGCCATCATTGCTATACAGGCTACTCATTTACTTTAAAGACCGGTTTAGCTATTTTATGCTTAGTTATTTTGCATATGAAAACTTCAGGTATGTTTGATTGAAAGTATATTTAAAGTTAATCATCCATGTAAGAGGAGAAAGGTTCCCGGCAAAGATACATCAGGAAAGTTGGTCTGGAAAGTGTGTCTGGTTGGATTAGGTTTAAATGAAAACAGGTCATAACCTTAATGTGACAAATACAGAAACACTATCAGTGACTTGGTGTCTGTTCAACCCTCATTATTTGTGTCTTGGTCACTGCAACTGCCAATTATCTATTTGTCATACAAACGTTTAACTGAACATAGCTCCAGCGTGTCCATATACTGTGATACAGCAATAGTAGCTGATTATGTGATTTGGTGAAAACTGAACACATTGTGTTTACGATATTTTCAATTCTACCCAAACTTTGCATTAAAATACAGCTTAAGGGCATAGTCACACATGCGCAAATGCAGGCAAGTGACAATTGCCTGCTTAGGTGAAATGTGGGCAATGTAGGATGTGCCACACAGGTAAGGTGTTTGTTGTTCATTTTAAGGGTCAACCACACACACACACATTTTATAATAACTAGGCTAGGACTTCGCCAGTCAAAGTTTAATGATGTTGAGCTCCACACGAAGCGAATGTGAATCTGCTTTGCTACCTGCAGTGAATGGGAAGCAGGAAGCAAACATTCGCCAATGTTGATTTGGCTTATGTGTGACCATGCCCCAAAGGCTCTGCACACAGGTGTTACACTGACTCAATTGGCATGTTATTTCACAAAAGAGTAAAATATTTTACAACTGAATTAAGGCTGTAGATAGACTTGCTTTTAACTACACGTTTGCGTCCGCATCAGGGCTGCCTCCTACGTCCGTTGGTTGTGCACGTCCACAGGTATGAATGCAAAGCGTGGTTAAACAGCAAGTATATCTCTGGCTTGAGGTGGATATTTTTTGCAGGGGTTTTTGAATTGTCATCGTTACATTTAAGTGTCCCAGTAGGCCATGACGGTGTGACAGTGAGCCAGCAATGCACAATACCAGGACCCTGAAACTGGAGCTGCTAAATGGAATTCAACCATCATTCATTCTATTTTTAAACCTGTGCTTTTCCTGCTACCACCAAAAAGACCTATTCACGCTCTTTTTATGTTCTACTTGTTTTACACCATCTTAAATAACATTTCGAACAGGTTGAAGCTTCCTTTTTTTTAATGTTTTGACCTTTTCACTCTTTCACAATGCTGCCACCTTGACATCCATCCATCCCCCCGATTTCCCCGTCTGCTGTGGAGGATTTTCTGGGGATGTGACTCAGCACAGAGGGCGGCAGCATAATTAGCAGACATGCTAAAGCAAGCTTATCCCGGCGCTAGGCTTCTAACTCCATGACCTACTTTACAAAGAGGATTTTCCCCACCACTCACTCTGTCGGTGTGTCTGCTCACCACCGATAACTCTGTGTAACAAATTCACATGCACAAATACACACAAACACCCACACGCAATCATAGTCAGTCAGTCACACACAATCAGCTAAACACACGCGCACGGATACAGGCGGCCTACTGTAGGAGTGTATGTACGCTCACATGCACTAACACAAGTGACAGAGGAAGAGATGAAGTCACATCAAAAGCAAGATCACATTCACAGAAAACACACACACAGCATCAGTAATAACGCATGAAATTCATGTCAAACCCGGAGCTGATGGTATATGATGCTTTTTATTCTTCCCATTGTGTCTTGTGTGTGTGCGTGCACGTCTCTATGTTTCATTCCGCTATTTTTTACGCAAGCCTGAGCACTCAAATCTAACTCACTCATCTCGCTGGAGAGTGAGAGAGTGCTTGGCGTGAGAGGAATTCCTGTCTTATCTCCTTATTCGTGAAAAGCTCATCTTGTCTTGCGTTGTTTGTTCCTGCATATTGCCCCGTCTCCTTTTTCACCTCCTCAGCCTGCTCCTGACAAACACCTCCCTCTGCTCGCCTCATGTACTCCTCTCCTCATCCTTCCTCCTCTCCCTGCCTCTCTTTCTGTCTCTCCTGAGGATTCTTCCCACCTTTCTTCTATTGGTGAGGTGCAATCAGCTGTGGAAGTTATTGACCAGCAAGGCGCTTAATGAGGCTGATACAACGAGTGACCAGAGACCTCTATCTTTTTACAAGCACACCTCATTAAAGCTCGAAAAGCCAGGGATGGGAGAAGAGACAGAGAGAGAACAAAGATTTCTTTAACACGCAAAAATTGGATTCTGATACCTGATCATTCTATCTACCTGTGAAGAAACCGGGAAGAGAAATAAAGCGTACGAGGGAGAAGTAAAGAGGCAGAAAAGTTCTGAGTAGGAGGAGAGATGCTGAGGCAGCCAGGGAGCTCAATGCAGAAACCTGCTTTAATCTACACATCAAATGAAAGGGGAAAATGAGAGTGGCAAAGTGCCTTAGCTGGTTTTTGTGTTGCTATGAGCGTGTGTCTCTGCACCTGTGTCTGCATGAACAAATACATGTGTGTGTGTGTGCGTGTGTGTGCGTGTGTGTGCGTGCAGGCAAAGGGCTCATTACAATAACAAAGAGGGAGAAGTTGGAAGCGATGTTGCAGCGTTTTACTCCAGCAGAGCCTGGATCAGAGAAGAACTACCAGATAATTAAAACCAATAAAAATCACAACGTTCTATTTTCACCCCAAACTTTCTTTTTTTTTTTCAACCAACCTCTCCGTTTTGCTCTTTTGTTATTTTTAGCTCTGTTTTTGAGCATTGATGACTGTCCACTGTGAATTTAAACAAACACGATCTGAGGCAGCAGTCCACGTGGAGGATGAACAAAGCTCAAATGTCACAAAAACAAAAGGAAAAGGAAATGTCATTGAGGTTGGAAAGTCTTTTTCTTTTTTAGTTGACTCAACTCCTGCTGAAATGGTATTGCCCTCCAGGGATTACTTAGGGGGGACTGGTGATTAAGTGGTACTGCCCAGAGCTGGGAGGGTGGGGTGGTGACGCTAACCACTCACAGCCAGTGAACCTCTGGTATGTGACCACCAAAGAACTGCTCGGACTTCTACATCACTGGTCTACAGGAACACACACGGAAGCCACATAACGCTTCACCCAAATTACAAGAGTCTGCTGTGTAAGATGCAATTAGTGCGGCGTGTAGTGCTTTGTTCATTACAATGTTTTCAAATCAAATTAGAGTTTGGGCTTCTTACAAAAGGGACTGACATGATTACAGCCAGGCTCCAGATAATTCGCAATTAGTATGAATACCTGAGAATTTAATCTAAAATAATCCTCACAGGGAGAGCTTGTCCATTCAGCCACTTGGTTTCACAGTGCTGGGTAAAATTTACAAGGCCAAAATGTTTAAAGGTGGATTGTTATGTGGTCATTGCTACGCATCCCGGAGAGTTACTGCAGCGCTAATCAGATATTTATGACTCCCACTGACCCTTAGATCAAATGTTCCCTGTCCCCTGATTGGTTAACCTCCAGCAGGACCTCTGACCTGCTGCCTATGAGGTCACAGCAGCTGGGTCATTTATCACAAGTGTCCGTCTCCTGTTTCTCCTTCTCCCCTTTGACTCATATCATGATCCCCCGTCGTCTTTTTCCGCACCCTTTCCTGCCTGCTTCATGCATGTCATGACAGTCAAGGCTAACTCTTGCCCTCGTCTGACTCCACGATAAAAGGGTTAACACATACGAACATACGCCGACAGAGACATGAGCTAGAGCGCTGAGACTGAACACTGAGGACACTTCAAAGGAAGGATGTACACGTTTGACTAGCTGCAAGAGAGACAGAATGAGGAGGGAAGGTGTGTGTGTGTGTTTGCGAAAGAGGGAATGGGGGAGGTTCAATCCTGCTGCATAAAAACACCAGGCAACAGACAGCTGGAACGACAAAGCGGAGAGAAGAAAGTGAGAAAAGTGAAAGCCAGAGTACATTAAAGGAGGTTTGAAACAACAGCGAGGACCACACAGACCGACGAGGGGCAGAGATGAGGCGACAAGCGTAACACGTGAAAGAGAAAGGAAAGAATGGGCTGAAGGAGGTGTGGAGAGGGAACACATGGCTCCTTTGGTTCTGGAGGGAGAGAGAGAGGGCCCAGCTGGCGTGGGGGAGGAGAGAAGGGGGGGAGAAAGGGGAAAGCTGGAGCGGTGATAGTGTGGGGTGGGATAGGAGAAGAGGGAGATGAAGAAAGGTATAGCCTTGTTCTCCTCAACCCTGGTGTCTTCCATCTCATATGTGTGAGTGGGTCTGTGTGTGTGAGATTCATTAGTTGATACAATGCTCCATCTCAAGAATTTGTGTGTGTGTGTGTGTGTTTGTGTGTGTGGTCGTGTGTGTAAGGGTGAGGTTAAGCGACTCACAGCTGTCCTCCTCCTCAGTGATAGCGCTGACAACATAACAGGCGTACACGAAGCCCAGGAGCTGTGAACACACAAGCAAACAGGAGAGGTTAGACTCCAAAGAGCTGGCAGTGTGCAGTTGATAAACAGCTGTGTGCTTGCTTTGATGAACAAAAAAAGATCACACAGAGCATCTGGAAA